TGGTCAACGCAAGATTCTCTTTGCTTGTTTCAAGAGAAAGCTTACAAAACAACTCAAAGTTTCGGAATTGTCTGGATTCGTTTCCGAGTGCACAGCCTATCAGCATGGTGAAAGCTCTCTCCAAGTGACGATTACCGGTATGGCGCAAACATTTGTTGGAAGCAACAATGTCAATCTCTTGGAGCCCGAAGGGTCTTTCGGTACCCGCCTTGATGGTGGAAAGGATGCAGCCAGTCCTCGATATATTTATACCCTATTGTCACCTTTTGCCAGGAAGTTATTCCCAGCTACCGACGATCCCCTGTTGACGTATAATCTGGACGATGACAAGAAAATTGAACCTATGTGGTACGCCCCTGTTGTTCCTTTGGTTTTGATCAACGGAGCCGATGGTATTGGCACAGGTATGTTTGAAGTAGCATCTACACCTAGGATTATTGGCGTTGCTTACACAAATAATAGGGTGGAGTACCACTATACCAAATTACAATCCGGAAGATGTGGTTGCCAACATCAGGCGTTTGATGAACAACGAGGAACTAGAATCTATGACTCCATGGTATCGCGATTGGACAGGCAAGGTCGAGCAGACCGCAGTGGACAAATTCAAATTCTCTGGGGTTATCAATCAGATTGATAGTATTACTTGCGAAGTTCGGGAATTGCCTATCAAGATGTGGACTCAAGAGTTCAAAGAAAAACTCGAAGAGATCATCAAGGGGGAGAAATCATTCGTCAAAGATTACGTTGATTACAACTCTCCTCGACGGGTCCATTTTATTATTACCATGGAGTCCGAAAAGCATATGCAGGAGGCGTTGGTGGAGGGGCTTGTGAACAGGTTCAAGCTTACGAAAACTATATCAACCAGCAATCTTGTGGCTTTTGATCCTGAGGGAAGAATTAATAAGTACGCTTCGGTCAATGATATTCTGAAGGAGTTTTATTATATTCGTTTGAAGTATTACCAGGAGCGCAAGGTATTACACTATTATCCCTCTTGATCAGTTCCGTTGCTAATATATTTATAGGATAATATGCTTAAAGAAATGGGTAGACAATTGATGAAGTACACCAATCAGGCTCGCTTCGTCCAAATGATCATTAAGAAGGAACTGGTAGTCTCAGGGCGTAAGCGTTCAGAGATTATCGAGGACCTTATGAAGAAGAAGTTTGATAAAATTTCCAATAAGGTTGAAGCTCAGAAGGCTGGTGAGACTGAGGACACTGTTGAAGAGGATGATTCAACTGTCGGGGATGGTTACAACTATCTATTGGGGGTTCGTACTACGTCATTCTATGGTATATTTGTGCATGCTAACGGTTCTCTGATCAGATGGCCATCTGGTCTTTGACGCATGAAAAGGTCCAGAAGCTACTTCAGGATGTCGCTGACAAAGAACTCGAGGTCGATGAACTCATCAAGAAGTCTCCGAAAGACTTATGGAATACCGAGTTGGATGCCTTTATCGAAGAATGGAGAGTACAGCTGGAAGAAGACAAAAAAGAGCAAGGCACCGTAGTCAAACGCAAGAAGAATGGCAAGTACGGCGCAAAGATTGCCAAAGGGAAGAAGAAAGCCGCTGGCAGTGACGAATCGGATTTCGAGGCTTCAAAACCAAAGAGAAAGCCAGCGGCTGCGAAGGTCAAAACAGAGGCCAAGAAGCAGACTATACTGGGATTCAAGTCCATCGATCAACCTCCGGAGAAAGCCCCCGACAGGGGACCTATCGCACGAGCTGTGAAAAAAGAAGCAGTGGTAATCAATGACCTCAGTGATTCAGATTTCGACATGCTCAACCGAGGATCTAAACCGGCGCCCTCTACAAAACCTCCTGTTAAAGCAACGCATACCGGCGTGGAATCATCATCGGATCAAAAGCCTCAGCCAGACCCCGCAGGGGATAGTGAACTGGAATTGCTTTCACTGGATGAGAAACCCTCCAAGAAACCGAAGGCTAAGGCGGCGTTGGCTAAGAAACCTGCAGAAGGTGAATCCGAGGCTGAATCTGAGATGGAGGTTCTTGCAAAGAAAACTATGGCGAAAGCTGCCCCGAAAGCCAAGGCCGCTACTAAAACTGCCCCCAAAGCCAAACCGGTTGCTGCGGATGATTCGATTTTTGATCTGGATGTCTCAGACCCTCCGCCCTTGAGGGCCGCTGCGACAAAGCCAAAACGGGCAGCGGCAAGAAAACCTTCAATTCTGGATATTGCTGGATCAGATGACTCCGACGGGGAGAATGGTCTTGGGGATGTCAGTGTTCTTGTTAAGGGTATCGGGAGTCAAGGTAGTGACACCGGTAGGCCTTTGTTTAGAGATTCTGCAAAGAAGGCATCTGGCACAGCCTTGAAGGGTGCAGCCGCTAAGAAGGTGGCCCCGAAGGGAGTTTCGAAGATCCCACTTAGTCTCGGCAAGGGTGCCGGCAACGAGTCTGAAAACTCGGACTCAGATGGTGACGACATCCCTAAACCTGCCAAGAGAGCCCCGGCAAAGAAGGCCGCACCACCAGCGAGGGCTGCGCCGAAGAAGGCTGCAGAGCCCAAGAAGCCCGCTGCAAAAGCGGTGCCAAAAGCCGTGGCCAAGAAACCGATTGTCTTGTCTGGGGATGAGGATTCCGACGATATGGATGTGGACAAGATGGCGGACGAACTTCTGGATTCCGACGATCAAGAACTCTACTCTAAACCTTCGTCTAAGACTTCTAAAGCTGCGCCCAAAACTTCAGCTAAACCAGCTCCTAAAGCAGGTGAACCAGAATCTCGTGGGAGGGCTGTAAGGGCTCGAAAACCTACAAATTACAGGATCGAGCCTTCTTCTGATGAAGAGGATGACGATGATGATGACGATGAAGGATCTGAGGATTATGGTGGGGATTCCGATTAGTTTATCTTGTGATGTTCTGCTTTTCTTTTTACTTATTTTCCTTGGGGGCCTGGGTGGGGGTAACCGGTGCATTTATGTGAGAGTTCAGGAAAAGAAGGTTTGGGGATTATGAAGGGGTGAAAAGCGGTGAAAAGCGGTGCCTTTTTCAATAATTTATTATCCTTTAAACACTTTTATGTAGCATAGACTTTTATGGAGAGAGTAAACAGTCCTTTCTTGCTCACAGAACTGGTGAAGGGGATTTTTATTATTATCCGTTCTTCTGCAAAGTTTATTACATGGTTACTCTCATTCTTGAGTAATTAGTTGTGCATTAATATTATTATACAATTGCATGTCATCTCACTACCTCTCAATCGAAACTAGAGGCGAGGGGGATAAATGACTTTGTAGTATCATACTGTAGCTTACATGTTTCTACCCGCCCCCGTAGTGTCACTATTGACCCCACGATGAAGAAAACCGGGTTTGGTCCGTCTCACTCTTGACAACTCACGCGCCCCTTTTTTCAATCCTTTAAAACGTGGGGCTGTGCCGGTGGTGCTGGTTCTTGCTCAATATGCGGTGAGCAGTTGCTTTGTTCCCCTCTATCAAGCACAATGTTACGAAGCGTAAAGTGGTTCGGACTCAGCCCTAGGGTTTTCTGCTGTGATACCTATGTTTGTTTATGCTTTCTTTTTGTCTCTCGTATTTTACCTGTTAAGATCCTTTTGTAGACTTCCGTATGGTTTGCTTGCCGAGGGAGAAAATGGGTTTCGTGATGTCTAACTGGCATTGTATGGTCCGGTTGCGAGCTGCGCACTATTTTTGAGAATGCAAGTGTGGCACTTCGGAAGCAAGGAATGGAGGAAGGGAGCAAGCAGTACGGTAGTCTACAGGTGCATAACTAGTAAGTTGTTCCCCTACCGTACTAACTTGAATAATAAAGCTACACATCTCGGGACGTCTGACTTTCCTGCTTCGGCGGGGACGGGAGAAAAGTGCCAGCAAAACAAAACGACGCGTTATGATACTTAGAGGGAGGGGGAAGGTGGGCGTCCTCAGGCGTGTTGCTCTTATTTAATTTAATACGGTAGGAAGCCTGGATTAGAGTATCATGCTGGAGGTATTTTTTATCATGGAGTTCATCTGCCATTAAAAAAGAAAAGAAATCAAATAATAATATTATGATAATAATAATATTATTACGACAATATGAGCAAAGGGAGGATTAGCCCTGTTGCTTATTTTTTTAATCAACCCTTAGGGTCTATTCTTTTTTTTCCTCCTCGGCTGATTTGGCGAGTGATGGCTTGTGATTAAATATGTTGAAGTGTGGCGGGGGGGAACATGGATTGTATCGTATTATCATGGTTGATTGGGTAAAGGCTTACCCGGGACTCAACCTTGTGCCGTAAAGGTGTGGTATTATACCAGACATTTGTTGGGCAATGGACCTCCTTGTCATACTTTCGGTTCCAAATTTTGCCTAGAAAGACCGCGGGACGTTAACCGTCATCGAAGTCCAATTATCAGAAGTTTGAACACTGCAAGTAAACCTTACTGTAAAGCCATAGGGGGGAGGGAGAAACTTGGAGGGGGAAAGAGTGTTGAAAAATCTGGGGCATAGTTTAAAAAGAAGATTGAAAGACATGAAATCTAACAATGGCTTGAAGCAGGGGTCGGGGGGGGATACTTCGCGCACACCGTTATCGGTAGATGTTAGGAGAAAAGAGGAACTCGAACAGGGGCCCTTATCGACTCGATTCACGCCCCAGTGCTAGCTGGTGAGAGAGGTGGGGTGGGTGGTTGTCAGACCGTAGGTCGTCGACATGGAGGGGAGTGCACGGCGCCCGGCGAGCAGTATCGCAAAATCCAATTCAAGGAGTTTAAGAGCCGTTGGCTGAATACAATAGATCTCGGGTCGGGTATAGCTGCTTACTGGTGGAAGGTCTTCTGGGGGGTAAAAGGCGCAGATGGGTTTGATATGGATGATGGTGGAAGCGTGTCTCACTGACGATCTACCTGATAGCCGTTTTCGCCGGGAGATGGGGCAGAGACGTTCGTATTTTTTTTCATGTAAGACTAATGGTTCAGCATTTCTTTGGACACATTTAATAGCCTGGCTATATCGTCAGCTCCGATGGTCAGGTTGGTAAGGCGCGTCACTGGTAGCTAACCTGCATACGCTCATGATGAGACCAACGGTTCAAATCCGTTTCGGAGCATCAAATTTTTTCGCTCCGTTCCCATATCGTTCGTTCCATGAAGGACGGGTCGTAGAGTGTTTGTTCATCGGAGATGTTTTCAGCCCACTGACTCGGGCTGTCGGGGTAAAATACATCATCACTGACAGGGGAATGGTAGTCGCCTCACAAATATGGAAGAAAGTTGCAGAAGAACCTGGGATTCCAGGCAGGCTATCTACAGCCTTTTACCCATAGACCAATAGACCAATGAAGCTGATAAATGGTATGCTGGAGCAGTATCAACAAGCATATATTAATTACCAACAAGTCAATTGGAGCAAACTACTCCCACTAGTGGAGCTTACATGCAACAAGGGAATACAAGAAACAATCAAGCCAACAACCTTTCACATGAAATACCACTTAGATCTAGAATATTGAACTATAAATCATATGACTAAGGGCAAAATAATAGAAAAAGAAGATATTAGTCCACTACACAAAAGCCTGTAGTTGGAAATAGCAATCGTACAATTCTCACAGCAAGAGAATTTCAATCAACATTGAATATCTCATTTGAACCAGGAGGAATGAGACAACATATGGTTACTACTATGTGTTAGGCATATGGAAATCCGAGACATGTGCACAGACCCCCGGTAGGGTAACTGCGCACAGACCCTCGATTTACCGGAGTGCCAACACCCCCCTCCGGCCCCCTTATGGGGCCCGCACGNCCTCGATTTACCGGAGTGCCAACACCCCCCTCCGGCCCCCTTATGGGGCCCGCACGTCATTAGCGAGATTTCGAGAGTTGCGTCCCATAACTAAAATGTCACATCATTGAAGCCCACTTCATAACACCATATATGCCGCCGCCGTCCGTCCGACCACATGCTGTTCGCAGGATATATGAGAGGGGACCTTTGGCAACATCTGGGAAGTGGAATGGAAGATATCCGTAGGAGGCGCATTGAGATAGTAGGCTTCAAGGTTGGGCTTCCTAAACGATGGGCTGAAGGTCAGGGGACATTTTGACAAAATACTCCAGGAGGATGCCCCAGTGGCAGAAGCTATTAGGGGTATACTGAATCCACCCATACCCTTCTGAGATCAGCTGTAGGTTGGTTGGTCCTAGTAATAGGACACCTCTACGGAGGCCGGCGGACCAAGAAGAAGCATGCTCAGAATGGAAGACCTAGATAAGTCAGAGCCCCTTGAGATGTTGACACATTGGGCTCGGACTTGTGATTGGCACTAGGTAACCCGGCATGAACTTGATCACTTCATGACCGAAGAGACTACTGGAACGATAGTCAACTAGACTAAAGTAATATAATAGTCAATGCGGACATCTAAGTTAGAGGCCGCTGTTTGGAATAACAAATAGCGCAGTCATCTTAACGGAGGAATACTACTTCGTGACCGCGAAAGGGTGTGATAAGTTTCAGGGCCAAACGGTGTTTGCACTTATAAGATTCTAGATGTTTGTGTACTAAAAACCAGGATGGTACTTCAGGGGCATAGTAGTCAGAAGTAGTCCGCGAACACTCAGACGTGGGATATAAATATTGAAGTGCCTCCCAAGCTTTACAGACATCATCAAGCAACGGAGAAGAGATCTTATCAATATTAAATTGTTTACCTCATAAATCTTTACTTTATCTTTTCCTTATCGAGACGAGCCTTCCTCAACAGATTCTCTGAACGAAGATTTTGGCCTACGTCCCTCAGTTATACTAGAGATTGGTGTCTGCCTAACAGTATATTGATAGTTCTCCAGTTACCAAAGCTCACTATATGAACTACGAGTTTACTTCAAACTCCACCCTCACCTCAAACTTCGATTACATTTTCGTAGCACCTCACTGTCCTATCTATATTCAGACATTTGAAGAAGTCTTCGACAGCGGGTTATTTGAAATCGAAGAAGAGTTTATCACGAACCCCTCGTGGTTTACAATACCTTTCGGGATCCCAACGAGGGATCAATTCAATTGCATATATCGTACCTGGTACTGTCTGGACTTTGAGTGGAGTTCCACCAAGTCAGAAAACTTTGTTGAGTGGAGTACCCAGCACTCCGATAAAAAGAAAACAGGTACAGTCATCCGAGGACCAGACATCCCCTCGGCCTGGGCCTAACAAATCCTTATATGTACTACAAGTACATTTTAAACCTCGAGAAAAGAGAAATTCAGATTCTGAGTCCAGAATCAGATCAACCGAAGCCGTTCATACCTACACCTCTAGAGTATCTCAAACGTTGGATACCTTACATACGATTTCTTAAACCCTTTAAAGGATATCAAGAACTCTAGTACGAGGTACCAGAAATCACGTATCCAGAACTATTAGAGCAATTAGCCTACCTGGAAAGTATCACAATGGCTGAGATACCTCAAGACCTGAGAAAGAGGATAACGGCGGGAGAACCCATAGACACCCACCCAGATACGACGGATAAAACCGATAATTTGACAATATGGAATCCCTCCCTATCAATACCTCATGAACCCACATTCTGGAGAGGAAATTTACCCTCTCACCGATCCTCTAGTGTCGCAAGCACACATCGGATATCAAGGGCCTCTACGCCTAAACTAGGAGGAGATCACGCTGCAAACTTAGCCTAGTTAGCTGCCCGTTTTGGAATAACCTTGGGTCGGATAAGGCAAGATATAGACACCTTGCTCGACCAAGCTAATATCGCCTTCAAAAATTTGAAGGGAGCCACCCAAGACAATACCTTAAAGTTAATTAAGGTTCAACAACAAATAGCGGAAGGACAAGATGTCCACGATAGCAATATTGCACTCTTGATGATGCAGCTGGCAGGCGTGGAATCAGAAGTCAAGGGTATCCAAGAGGAAATGCTACGAGAAGTAGCAAAGAAGATCAACGCCCAAGATAGGCGTCAACAGGAACATGAAGAGGTAACTACGAGGTTACATGGAAAGCTTGGGCAAGAAAGTCAGACAGCAGTAGCACAAGATCAAATGTTGGAACAAATGGTCATCAACCTAAGGGCGGAATTCCTAGAATTCTGAAATCAAAGCATCACGCGGGAAAGAGAAGTCAACTGTACCCTAGGACAAATGTGCCTAGATCAGAATGCTCGCTAAGCGGAGATTTGCAGGTCACAAGACCAGCAACAGCAGCAGAGTAATGAGACAAATAATACCCTAAAAGTATTAACAGCGTCAACAAATAGGATGTTGGCCACCGCACCAAGTCCTGAAGCTGCAGGGCCTACACCCTTACCCGCCGTCCAGGAAACTGATGACGAAGAATACTACGTTCCGCCTACGCGAAGAGAAAAGGGGAAAGGGAAGGAAGCTGCTGATGCATGCCGCTCAGGTGCCCAGGGAGGTGACCCTGGGGATTCTAGTGATGACGATGATGATGACGATGAGAGAGGAAGAAGGAGAGGAAGTCCTAGCTGGCGCAGGCAAAGACATACATCAGAACAGTCTGGAATGGCAGAAACGCTTGCCAATGCGATGGGGCTAAATATTAAGTGACCATCAGAGCTACCCCAATTCTTTGAGGATAAACCCGCACAAGATATATATGTGTGGATCTTACACTATACAGACTATTTCGAACTGAACGTGCGGATCTGGGACGACGCACGGGAACGAGTCGTATATGTGCTCAGCCATCCGAGAGGAGACATAGTAGTTCCTTATACTATTTGGTACCGGAAGGCTATGGACGGACTTCAAGGTGAAACGCAGCAGCCAAAGCTGGCTATAGGGACTCGTTTTGAACATGATATGATCAAACGATTTGCCCCAGTAGAAGCCGAACGACTAGCGCTACGAACAATGAAGCTAGTCGCATATGATGGCAGCATTGAATGTTATCTGACAGTCATGCATAACCATAACATTCGTGCACGCATGACCGGAGAGTCCTGGAGACAGGAAGTAGAAGATAAACTTCCTAAACAAATTGTCTGAAGGCTGTCAGCTCTGCAATATACAACGGATCAAGAATGGGAAGAGGCGCTAAGGCAGTGCTGTCAGCTAGAAGAAGGGCTCTTGGCCAGAGATAAGATTGGGTGAGACAAACCGTCTAAGCCTAAGATAGTCCAAGAGGTCAAAAGAGAAGACCGCAGGGACTCTAAACCGAAGTGACAAAAGGAAAATAAACCTTACGTCAAGGGAGGTGGAGCCCCATTACGAAAAAGAAAAAGGGACAACGAGCCGGAGAAGCCAAGGAAAAGGTTGGGAGGTGTGACTAAGACCACCCACATGAACTTCGGCGAGGCTCATACCGGCATCCCGCAGAGTGTGATAGACACACGGAGGCGAGAAGGAGATTGTACAAGTTGTGGAAAGAAGAACCACACCTATCAAACGTGTTGGGGAGACGCCCATATATCGGCGGCAACGGTCAGTTCAAGACCGATAAAAATGGGAATTCGGCGAGCAAGATCGGCTATTGTAAAGCCTGAATTAGCTCGTGGAGTCGCTTCCGCACAGCAACCAGCCTGAGTGAATAAGATCTGGAAACTGGCGGATGATGAAGAACTGACTTAGGTCAGTTCATTGGCACCAATGGCGATGGGGTTTGGGTATTCAGTGTCCGGATGGAGCTGGAATCGAAATGGGAACTCCCTTTGGCTAGGGTGTATTGGGTACCGACCACGACGGAGATCGGGTATTCTGTGTGCAACTACGGGAGTCGAAACTCAAAATGATCAAAGGGGTGCGAAGTGAGTCTCTCATTTCAAGATCAACACAAGTAGGCTCTAGGTGAAGGGACCCCACGAGAGACTTATGAGCTCGAACACAAGAATCAATATATATGGAGAGTCTTGATCAAAAGAGAGGATAGTTAACATGCCCACATGGCCCGGGAGCCAACAGTACGAAGTTCCTCGAGTCACCTGGTGGTTGCCTGCTACCCATGTACAAGCAAGTTACTATACCGGTGAAGTTGGGATATAGCAATGCAAGAGCTACCGGATAACAAATACATGACAGGAGGACAACCAACGCGGGCCGTTCCACCTACCATACGAGTCTGAG